AATACATACAAAGCAGAACACAGCTAAATGTATCAAAAGTATGTCTCTGTAATATTAGAATTTTCTGAGACAATGAATATTGTTTTTTCATTTTTTCCCAGTAAGAGGTTTTTATTTAATAGAATTTTTGGACAAAAAAATCGCAATATATCGCAAAATATCGCCTTGCTTACAGTATCGCAATATATCAGGATATATTGTATTGTGACCCCTCTGTCATGATATGTATCGTATCGTCAAATTCTTGCCAATACACAGCCCTAGTCGGTAGCATTGTCTGTTACCTTCCAGCAAGAAGGTTGCCGGATCAAAYCCCAGCCGGGAACATTTCTCATTGTTTTCTCTGTGCATGTGTGGGTTTTCTCCAGGTACTCAGGTTTCCTCCCACACATCAAAAATATGACTGTTAGGCTAACTGGTAACTTTAAATTGTCCCTAGATTGAGTGAGAGAGTGAGTGAACGACTGTCTCGTTTGTCTCTATGTGGCCCTGTGATGGACTTGCGACCTGTCCAGGRYGTACCCCGCCCCTCGCACTGTGACTGCTGGATAAGGGCACCAGTGACCCTGAAAGGAAGGCTTAAACTCGTCCCTTTGAAGCCAAGTGTTAAATTAGCATTTTCCCATGACCGCTCTTCTCCTTCTATTTCCACATCCAGTGACCTCGCCAAGAACATGAAAGCTGACTGGCTGCAATACAGGTTTGTAATTGTAACTATATTCAATCAATAAAGAAGTGTCACAGGAGCATTTTATTGAGCATCAAAGGTAGTGGTAGGGGTGTAAGAAAATATCGATACACTGAAATATCGCGATATTTCATTTCCCGATTCTGTATCCATATTCTGATGGTGCGTTCACACCGAACGCGATTTCAGCTTCAAAATCGCAGCCAACGCTGAAGTCTGAAGCTTGTGCACTTTGAGGTCAGACGCAGGACAGTTGTTGAAGCGCCGCACGGCGACAGCCGCCCCGCCCCTCCCTCCTCTGTCGGGCTCCGTTTAATGTCGGACGAGGAAGTGGCTTTGCTTTATTTACAGACAGCCAGAACGTGTCACGTTCATCAGATAATTAATTCATAATTAATTCACCAGATAATTCAGAGAAGAGGCTCACAGCTGCTTTCAGGACTATTTTTTTCAGTCTGATGAGTCGCTGTCACGCATTGCTGCGGATCAGGACACGACTGCAGGCACTCATTTTAGCTAAAGAGCTCCGCTCCGTCTGTTTCAGGTTAGTGGACCTCATTCAGTAAACTGTCCCGTCGGGAAATATGTCACTACGTCACACAGTGGAGTCTCTCTGATTGGTTGACGCTGCGCGTCGAGCTGCAAAAGTTCAGATTTCCCAACTTCAGCGATTTGGACGATTTGGACGATCTGAGCGTTCGACGCTCAGATCGTCCAAATCGTTCAAATCGCGCTGCTCTAATCGTGCTTGAGGCGCCGCAGAACTTCCCGACGTTGCTTGAAGCGCGTCCACCATAGACTTTGCATGTAAACCTGCTGCTCCTGACGCTGAAATCGCGTTTGGTGTGAACGCACCATAAAGCCCTGTATCGATTTTTAATTAAGGTTTAAAATGTCAACCTTCTTGCCAGCCGTTCATTTTTATGTTGTAGTTCAGCCTCTGACCACTAGTTGGCAGCAGTGAGCCAGCCATTTGGCTCCTCTACCTCTTGAGCTCCAGAGAGTAAGGGTAGCATTAGCATTGTAAGTAAACATTAGCTTTTCTTCTTCTTTTATTTTTCAGTTAGAGGTTTTTATTTAATAGAATTTTTGGACAAAAAAATCGCAATATATCGCAATATATTGCCTTGCTTACAGTATCGCAATATATCGGGATATATCATATCGTGACCCCTCTGTTATGATATGTATCGTATCGCCAAATTCTTGCCAATACACAGCCCTAGGTAGTGGTATATGGGCGTTAGAAAATTAAAACCTGTTTAAAATAATTTAAGACTTGAACACGATAATTTAGTGAATTTTAGACTGTTTAAGGCCTAAAATCAGGATTTTCTGACTTTTTTAGATTTTAAGACCTTGCAGAAACCCTGTTTGTTGTTTCAGTTGCCATCTGGAGAGTTTCATCAATTTAAAACTCGAATGTGACATTCCAAGCTTTAAACTACATAGTTGGATTGAACCACATACTGCTACTTCAATAGTTGGATGAAATGGGACATGACTGATCATACTGCGGCCACTTTAAAAAACATCTGATATGAATACAATTTAGTACCACATATGAAAGTAACCCAAGTCCGATTAGAAAAAAATTGCACTTGTGATGCTCAGAAGAAGAAAAAAAAATCATAACTGGGCAACTTTTACCAGAAAGCACAATTTAATAAACTATAAAAAGGAGCAAAAACTCAAGAACTCATCACAAAATAAATCACTGTGCATAACCTTAAATATGAAATGCAGAAGTGTTAATGTAAGTGTGTGTAAATGTGAGAAAGTTCATTAAATGCAGACCTCTAAGATGATGAAGAACTCGTCTCCAGGCTCTCCTTGCACCACGATCTTCTGTCCGTCCTCAAACTGAACAGGTTCTAAGGCATCGGCCACCGTCAGACGTTCCCATTTGTCAAGAGACTCTGAGGATGGAGAACACAGGAAACATTTCAGCTGAACTGACAGAAACACGGGGGGAGAAAAGCCTGAACTTGTTCTAGTTCTGTCCTAGTCAGAGTTATTTTTACACACAACTTTGATGTTATTTTAATCTCTACGTCAAACACTAGTATCGTGCTTCTTTGAGTCCATTTTAAAACTTTTGGGAACAAAATGAACCCACCTAAAATGGACACTTTCCTGAGGAATTCCTCGTACATCTTCCTCTTTCTCAAAGTGCTTCCCTGGAGGAGAAGAAGTGTTATTGGAACTCCRTGAAATTGTAAAATAAAAACTTTCTGAGCCACCAGTGCTCCACGCTCTCTTCACCATGAGTATTCTCCTGTAGCTGTCTCTGTCGATGCCCCACAGCTTCACGTTGGTCTTGGCTCTGACTGTGGCYGCCCTCGGGGTGCCGTAGATCAGCGCCAGCTCCCCAAAGCTGCCACCCTCCCCGATGCTGGTCACCCATTCGTTGTTCACGTACACCTGTCAGATCGCACAGATATGGGCTAAGAAGTGACCAAAAAAAGAAAATGATTTTTTTTTTTTAAATCTAATTGAGCAGATACTCACATCCATCTCCCCTTGGTCGATGACGTAGAAATTGTCGCCCTCGTCGCCTAAATATTTAAACATTGCACTTAGTTTCACACAACTGAAATAACTTTGCATTAATGCTTGTGACATGCAGCCTTACCTTGCTGAATAACAGTTTCCCCAGCAATATAGGTGACTGGAAACATTGCATCAAATATATCACTGGAAGAGAATAAATTAATGAGTTGAACACAAACATCTAAACTGCATTTAAAACTTATTCAACGTTGTTAAAGGTCCAAACCTCCTCTCGTTGTCATCCAGGTGTGAGAACAGCACATTCTTTTCAATAGCTTTAGCCAAAGCAGCCATTGTTTTGTAGTCCTTTGGAATGACCTTTAATCCCAGAAAGACGACAAACGTAAGCAGGATTAATTCATGCCAAATACATGAAAACACTGCATCTTATTTCTGATCATCAGTCTGACCTTTCTGACGTAGGAGGCTGCGTCTTCCTCTGTGTAGACCTCGGCGCTGAAGGCTCCTCTCCGTCGGCGACCCTTCACCACGGGGTTCATGGGTGGAGACACCTCCTCATCGCGAGAGTCAGACCGGGAACTGCTGGCCTTCTGCTGGCTCTGAATCTGCTTGGCCTCCTCCTGCAGGAGCAGGGAGAGATGGAGTCCAAAAGAGGAAGGAGGATGTTAATTCCACTCAATCACAAGGCTTTAAAGCCGAATCTCAATTTACTTTTAACAACTTTATTGTAAGATGTGTACATTACTCGCAGTGTTTTCAGTGGTCCAGCAAAATCACTCAAATTGAAGCTGAATATTTGCTTTTTATTCATTTAATTTATAATAAATAGGAGGACAATGAAGTAACTTGTTGCGGTTTTATCCTTCTGGCTCTAAATAAACTCCATAATATATATTTTGAATGAATTCACGGTAAAGATGACATTTCAGAAAACATGTATATTGCTGATTAAAGTTKTTGTTCTGTTTGTTTCTGTTCACTAAAGATGCTTTCAGTGTGAGCGAACCCAAACAAGGTAACAACTATAAAAAATAAGTGTAAAAAATAACTATTTGCAGGTGCACAACTACCAATATTAAAGATAGGTATTTTACTAAATTTTCCTTTTGTGTATTTAAAGCTGTTGTTAAAGGTAGCGCAACTGTGTTTACTGCATGACCTGTTTCACCTGTTCCCCCATGTTTGTCTTGT